AGAGGCAGGAAGGGGAGAGACGGTTCTGATCCAGAGCTGGAAATTCTGAGAACCAAGGATGGAGGGATGCGAAAGAGGACCAGGTTGAGGGGGAGACAAAGGTCAGGCCCCCCAGGATGCAGGAGACTGAGAGTCAGCCATAGAGGACAGATAGGTTCCAGCAGAGGACAGACCTTTGGTGGCAAGGAGGGAGTCTTCTGAACCCACCTAGGGAAGGAGGTTGGCTGTGAAGGCAGGCCCGGGCTGGCTGGGCAGAGCTCCAACCACTTCAGAAAAGGACAAGCTGTTTTCAAAAGAGCTTTTATTAAACTCCGCGACACTGCACCTCCTGCGATGCTTGCCGCAGCCCTGGCTGTGCCCTCTGGGAAGGTCCTGCCAGTTTCCCCCATGGAGGCTGCGCTTGGCCTTGTCTCTGTGGAGCTGGCCTGGGCTGGCGGGTCCTGCTATCTCTGGCTGCAGGAGCTGCTATAAACATGGGGAGCTGAGGACAGGCTCTAGTGTAGAGATGGGCGGGGTGGAAGGGGGGAGCTATGTCTTCTACACACACCCTGAGATGCTCCTGAGATGCTAGGTGCATCCAAAACATCCCAGGTCTGACCTGGGAGACACGGGAGCAGCTGTAGCAAGGGACCCCATGGCCAGTCATGAGGAAACAGCCCAGTCCCTCCCTGGGAAGACCCAGTATGGGGGCAGGAGGTACAGGGAATGTTGGGGGAAGCTGTATGTGAACAAGGGAAGGTTTCTTTGCTGCAGCTGGCTGGAGAACCTCATAACTTCTCCAGCCTGTTTCCCTTTCTGTCTAATAAAGAACATGGTCTCTCAGTGCTATGACTGTCCCTCAGAAAGCACCCTTGGCCGCTCTTCGTGTTATTTTCCCAATTCTCCTGAGACTTTAGTCTGGGCATGCTCAGTGAGCGGCGTGCATGACCTTGGACATCAGTGTTGGAAGTGTGTGTGGCACGTGGTTGATGTTGAGAGCATCTGCATGATAAGTGCGGGCCAGTGCCAGGAAGGGCGACTGAGCCCCCAGTCCATGCCCCTCCGTCCCTGCCAGTTCGGGTGATCCTGTCGTCTGAGGGGCTCACAGGAAGTTGGGCTCTCGTACAACAAGGCAGGGGGGCCCCCCGCTGCCCCCGCCACTGTCCAGGGGCCCGTAGACGAAGTGGAAGTCGCGCTTGGGCTCGCTCCGCAGCAGGTAGCCCTTGATGCGGTGTGGCAGCGCCTCGTCGGCCAGCTGGAAGCAGCGCCCGTCCACCAGCACGAAGAGCCGGTGCGCCTGCGGCTGCGCCACCTCGAACTTCTCTGCGCACTGCTCACACAGCGCCTGGGCCGGCGTGTCCGCGCGCGACGCCAGCGTCCGCGACTGCTGCTCGGGCTCCAGGTACGACACGCAGATGAAGTCCTGCAGGGGGAGGGAGGGCCGGCGTCACTCCCACCGACGCCGGGCCTGGGAGGGGCTGGGGGCCCTTGGGCTGAACCTCTGCCTCAGGGCGCTGGCGCCTCTCTGGGTAGATAAGGGTAGCGGAGGGAGCGGTTGTGTCGTGCAGCTGGCGTCAGCACCTGCGTCCTGGGCCACCCCTCCCTCTCTGAGCCCCACTTCTCCACCCGGCTCACACCGGTGGATTTCAGCGGGGGTCCTGACAGTGAGTGCGTTCGCCCCCTGGTGGCTAGCGCAGAGGCTTCCATTCATTCCTTCGTGCACTTTCTTCCTCACCGAGAGTGAGGCGCAGTGCTGGGTAGGGAGGGCTCCAGAAATAAAGTCGGGGGTGCAGACCCCATCCCCAGCATTCCACAGTTCAGGCAGGAGGAATAGAGCCAGCCTTAGGGCTGGAATCACCTTTGGGGCTGAGGAGGAGCAGGCAGGGAAGGGAGGCTGGAGGAAGGGGAGGAGAGCTGGCGAAGGAGAGCAGTTTGGGGACAGGTGGTGCGGGGTGGGAAGGCGGGGCGATGCCCGCGGACGGTGGCGGGAGCACGTGCACACACGCGCACAGCACACCCATACTATCCTCCACCTGCCCCGGAGCTCCCCGCGACCTCCCTGGCTTTGAGTCCCTTCCCATTTACGGTGCAACTTTGACTTCTGGGTGCTTGCGCTGCGCCAACTGTAAGCTGGGGCTAACCCCATCCCTCCCATCAGGTTGGGAGGAAGCACGGACGGCTAGATGGGCCCTGGAACAGCTCTCCTCCCCAGCAGCCCTGAGAGCGGCTGAGACGTGGTGTGTACAGGGCTGCCGCCGTGTGGTCACAGTGGGAACAGCAGCTCTCCACGGATATTATAGCCGCAGAGTGGTCATTACAGCCCCAGGGCAGGGTGGGAGTGCTGGCGAGGTGGCAGGCTTGGTAAAGGTATAATGAGTCTCACTGGGAGGCCACTTCCAGGAGGGGGAAAGCCTCGCCCACTCTCTCCCCGTCTTGGTGGCTGCCTGCTCTCCTTGCCCTCCCTTAGGCCTAGGAGGACTCTTCCCACTGCTGACTGTAAGGCTCTAGGATTTCACTCCCCAGGGAAGGACTGAAGGCCTGGGGGGCAGAGGAGGCACTAGGAGCAGGCAGGGGTGGAGCCCTCCCCAAAGTCCAGCCATGGTGCTGAGGGGGGATCCTCCTCTCTCATCTCAGCATCTCTAAGCTTCCATCTCCCCAGGGGTGGTGGTCATCTCACTAACGCGCTGCCTGGCTCAGCATCGGGAACCCCTGCGGGGAGCAAGGGGTGCTGGGCCAGGCATGATCGGAGAGTGTCCACCTCCCCAGAGCTGGTGGGGGATGGCAGGCTCCGGAGCAGTGGTGTGTGGAGCCTGGGGGGCGGGAGGGTGGGGTGGGGGACAGACTGCACTGATCATTCCCAGCCCCAAGCTCAGGGATGCCGAGCTGGAATTAGTCATGGTGAGAGTATTTACACCAGGGAAATTGACAGAAGCTGAAACGAGATCCTTTCTCCCTGGAATGCCAGCAATTAAACAGTTATCAAGGTGCTATTGACTGGATGGTGGAGTAGGGCATGGACTTGGCATGCTCCCATGCTGGGGAGGCACAGCCCACCTGGCCCCCACTCCGCCTGCGTGGGTGGTGAAACTGCATCCTAGAGAGGGACAGAGGCTGCTCAGGGTCATGCAACAAGCTAGTACAGAGGCAGGTCCAGAACTTGAGGCCCCTACCCCCTGGGCCTGGGATCTGCCTGTGACAGGCCATCTTGAAAGCCAGGGATGGGGTTCAGGTCTGGTGTGCTCTGGGTGCCAAGGCTCGAGTCTGCAGAGCGTTTTACCTCTCAGATGCTGCCTGCTCCCTCCATCCTCCACATACCCAAGCCTCCTCTGCCCCAGGCCCTGGACTTGTGGCCCCTGAGACAGTGACCATGGGCCCTGCCATGACACCTCCTGGAGGCACCAGCTCCATACACTGCGGGTTCTGTGTGCCACAGGTAATGTAACTGTGGGGAAGCTCTGGCAGGAGGCAGAGGGGGCATCTAACCTGGCCCGTGGGCACATAGGATGTGTGGGGGGATATCTGAAGAGGAGTGGGTGGAGAAACGGAAGTGTCTTCAGGGTGGGCAGTGACAGCAGGTAAAAATATAAAGACCAGCAGGGGCAGAGGCTGAGCTGCCGGAACTGGGAACTGTGCTCAGCACCGGGAAGAGGAGTGACAAGGTGTGGGAGGGGTGCACAGCTGGGCTAGTGGGGGGTGGCAGCTAAGGAGCAGGGAGACCCTTGGCAGTTACTGCGCATGTCTAGGGCCTAAGCATAACGGAATGACTTAGAAGCACATCTCCAGGTCTAGCAGGGCACAGGACCCAGTGGGGTGGGTGCAAGGCCTGCCAGTTAAATGCTTTTTCCGCCTACACTCCCCTCCTCTGGCCAACCGGAACACGGGTCTGGAGGTCCTTTACTAGCCCCACCCACGCGCGCTGGCACAGAGTTGCAGGCACCCAAGGCCAGGGGTTGGGGTGCCTTCCTCTGGTGCGGCAGCATCCCTGCTCCCTGGAGGGCAGGGCAGCTAGTTGGCGCTGCACTCCAGAGCCAGCCGGCAGTGGTCAGTGTCTGGGCGTGGTGCCACTGCCTACTCCCACGCCGGGTCTGCCAGGCCTCACCTGCACCGAGGACCGGGAGGCCCGCGCCTTGTTGAGCGTGCGCCGGCGCTCCCAGCGGTGGATGGAGTCCTGCACCTCCACGCTCAGCTGCCGGGTCACTGTGATCTTGTCATAGTTCTTGATGTGCTCCAGGGCCCCGTAGGTGGTGGTCAGGTAGTAGGAACCTGCCGGGACAAGGGTGTGGGGGCTGAGCTGGCACTGCCGGCCCCGCCCACCTGCTCCAGGTGGAGCCCTGTCCTGCCTGTCTGTCTCCTGGGTCCAGACGTCCACCTCGGAGCTCAACCCTGCGCTGCCAGCCCGCAGCCTCCGCGAACATCTGCAAGCCCAGCCCTCACCGGCCTCCGTCCTGCTCAGAACTTGCCACTGGCTCCCTGCAGGACCAAATGTGCTTATTATTAAAAAGATGCTTTGGGACCAGCAGTTAATGTAATGGCTATGTCGCTGGACTCCCATGTAGTCGACTGTGGTTTGAATCGCGGACCTGGTGACTTAAACTCATGCAGGGCGCGTGTGCGTGCGTGCCCAAGATCCCGAGAGGAGAAGGGATTGCTGTGTGGTCATTCCCACCCCCCCCCCGCCCTGGGGTGATTTCTCGCTTTCTGTCTCTCTGTCCCTCTCTTTTTGGCAAGCCCACGTGTTCTATAGCAAAAACCTCGCAAAAAAAAAAGAAAAAGAAAAAGAAAAAAAATGATACTTTGAGTTTTCAATTATAAAATTAATTTTAAAACGTTTTAAAATCTATTGATAAATGGGACCAGCAGTTAGCGTAATGGCTATGTCGCTGGACTCCCACGTAGTCGACTGCGATTCGCGGCCCGGACCTGGCGGCTTAAAACTCACGCCAGGTGTGTGTGCGTGCGTGCCCAAGATCCCAAGAGGAGAACGGAGGAGAAGGGATTGCAGTGTGGCCATCCCCCCTGGGGGGTGATTTCTCGCTTTCTGTCTCTCTGTCTCTCTCTGTCTGGCGAGCGCACACGCCCTATAGCAAAAATCTCTCCAAAAAAAAAAAAATCTATTGATAAACAAGAAACTGAGAGCCGTGGATGTCTTCATGGCGGGACCGGTGTCTGGGAGACTGGGTGGGTGGGAGACTTCACACTGGGTGTGCCTTGTTAGGTATGCTTTAAACCATGTTAGATAGTACTTTTTTTTTTGGAGAGGTTTTTGCCTTACTGTGTGTGCGCTCACTGGGGGGAGAGAGAGAGAGAGAGAGAAAGAGACAGTGAGAGGGAAAGTGAGAAATCAAAATCACCGCCAAGGGGGATGGCTACACTGCAATCCCTTCTCCTCCATTCTCCTCCCAGGATCTTGGGCAGGCACACATCTGGCTCCAGTGTAACTTTTAAGCCACCAGGTCTGGGACTTGAACCATGGTTGGACACATGGGAGGGAGGCCAGCGATGTAACCCCTGTGCCATCTGCTGGTTCCAGAAAATACATAAAAAACGCTGCAGAGGATATCGTAATTGTGATTATATTATTATGTACATTTCTTACAGATGTAACATAAGTACAAAAATATTTTTATGCCACAGGGCACGTGTGTACACGTGAGGGAGGGAGAGAGAAAGCACCCTCATGAGGCAGGGTCATACTGCAGCCTCTTCCTCCACGCCGCCATCCCTTTAGGAGTTTGGGCACGCACACATGCTGGGCGTGTTTTTCTTTTCTTTTTTTTGGGAGAGGTTTTTGCTATAGGGCACTTGTGCTCGCCAGAAATACAGAGACGGAGAGACAAAAAGCAAGAAATCACCTCCCAGGCGGGATGGACACCCCACAGTCCCTTCTCCTCCATTCTCCTCTTGGGATCTTGGGCATGCACGCACACGTACCCGGCATGAGTTTAAGCCACCGTGTCTGGGACTTGTACTGCAATTGACTACGTGGGAGTCCAGCGACATAGCCATTATGCTAACCGCTGGTCCCTAACTGGGCATGTTTTTCAAACCACAGAGGCCAGGACTAGAGATGGAGTCAGCCATATGAGGTCTGGCTCCTCTGCCCAGTGCTTGCTCTCGCATGCACTCTCTCTCTTTCTTTCTTACCAGAAAGGAACAGAGAAAGAGAGAGAGAGAAAGCAAGTTGCCAGCTCTGGGACTCGAACTGCAGTCAGCCATGTGGGAGTCCAGCGCCCTTAACCACCAGGCCACCTGCTGGCCTATTTCCCTTCCTCTTGCCTGGAACACAGAGGTGAGCTTGGAGGCACAGCAGCTGTCTTGTGATCAGAGGTGAGAGGCGCAAAGACAAAGGCCCACATGCTGCGGAAAGCTGTAAAGAGCAGGGTCCGGGACTCCCTGCAGGCAGGGCTGCTTGCTGTCCTTCTCAGTGCTAACCCTGGACGTCTTGACGCAAGAGACAAATCGGTCCCTTGCTTTGATTGAAACCATTATTGGTTACCTTGTGTTTGCAACCCTAAGCATCCCTAAGATACACGGATGCTGCCGCCCGCGTTTCCCCATGAATTCTACAACCAACGTGGGAAAGTTTACACCGCAGTTGGGGTGGCTGGGGGCTGAGACAAAGGGGCTTATGGCCACAGGGTCACCCACCTTTTCCTAGCAGTGTCAGGGAGAGACATGCTTTATCTATCTATCTATCTATCTATCTATCTATCTATCTATCTATCTATCTATTTAGAGAGACAGAAAGCAAGAAATCTATCTATCTATCTATCTATCTATCTATCTATCTATCTATCTATCTATCTATCTATCTATCTTGGGCACGCATGCACATGCGCCCGGCATGAGTTTTAAGCCACTGGGTTCCGGATGTGAACCGCGGTCGACTATGTGGGAGTCCAGCGACATAGCCATTACATTAACTACTAGTCTCCCCCTCCTTTTTTTAAATTTATATTTATTTTTTAGGGAGAGACATGGTCTTAAAATGAGTGTACTGGGACTGACAGGAACTGGGCTGGCATGGTGTCCCTAGTCAGAGTGTCACTAAGCCACTCAGGTGGTGCCTCCCTTTCCAGTAGGGCTGAGCTGAGTGGGCCAGGAAGCCATTCCTGGTGCCTCCGGGCCTAGCTGTCCTGAGAGTCCCTGTCTGCACCTCTTGCTAGCGCCGTTCCCTGGCTGTATTCTGTCTCCCTGGCTAGTGATGGAGGAGGTGTGCCGATGAAAAACACTCAGTTTAGGGGCCAGCAGGTGGCGTGGTGGTTAAGGTGCTGGATCCCACATGGCTGACTCCACAGTTCGAGACCTGGATCTGGTGGCTTGAAAAACACAACAGGCGGGTGTGCTTGCACGCCCAGAATCCTGAGGGAAGAATACAAGAGAAGGGATTGTGGTGTGCTCATCCCCCTGGGGGGCGATTTCTCACTTTCCTTCTCTGTCTCTCTTTCCAGTGAGCACATGTGTCCTATGGCAAAAATCTAAAAAAAAAAAACCAATTCAGCTTTGGACTCAGAAAGCAAGGTGCTCTGGCCTGTAACAGCCAGCCCTGGGAGGGGGCGAGTTACTGTCCTGTGCACCTCTATTTCCTCACCTGTAAATCCCATAATGTCGCTGTGGAAATGAAGTGAGTCGGATGCCTGTAAAGCGCAGGGCTTAGTATGGCGGTTAGGCAGGTGTTTCTGGGACCTCAAGGGGTTGCCTGGAGGCTCTCCCCTCCCCCTCAGGTGAAGGGAAGGGGAGGCTGAGCCCCTCCTGCTCACTGCCTGCTGGGTCCTTGACCTCAGGCATGCAGTGCCTGTGAGGACCACTAGGTGGCGGAAGACCCCCACTGTAAGCTCTGGAGCCAGCTGCTCTCGCCAGGGTGAACGTGTCCATTGACTGGAAAAACCTATGGCCTCTAGTAAGACATTGACCCTGCCCCCGCCCAGGCCCCTGTCTGCCACATGATTTCCCAGAGCGGTGGGAGCAGGGGAGAGAAGCTAGAAAGGAGGCGAGGCCCTATCAGCCAGCACGCAGGCCCTGCGTCTGCTTACAGGACGACCCTGATCTCCCCTGCGGCAAAGCGGGACGCAGTGGCTGGTCCTCTTCTGCATTACGGCACGCGGATCAGGCTGGAAGAACGAGGAGGTCCCAGAGTGCACGGACTCGAGCTCGCAGACTTTTGTTGGACCCAGCGCTACTTGTGCACGTGGACGAGGAAACACGTGAGGGCAGAGCCCCCTGCACCCCCATCCTGCTGAGTGCTGTGCTCCGAACGTCTGTGTCACCCGGATGTGTGTGTGGCAGTCCCGGCCCCCAAGGGGATGTGATTAAGGGGGAGGCCCGGGAGGTGACTGGGTCCTGAGGGCTTTGCTGTCATGACGGGGTTAGTGCACGTAGGAAAGAGGCCCCAGAGAGCTGCCTGATTCCTTCTTGCTGCCTCCCACTTTGGGAGAAGGCACCATCTATGAACCAGAGAATGGGGTCTTCACCAGACACTGTGTCTGCTGGTGCCTTGATCGTGGACTTCCCAGCCTCCAGAACTGTGAGAAGTAGTTACCTGGTGTGTGGCATTTGGTCCGAACAGCCCAGACAGACACCTGCTAACCCCGAAGAAGTCCAGCATGCCCAGACAACCTGAACCCCCAGTCTAGCCCAGTGTCTTCACTCCCGGAGCCAGAGAGGTTCAATGACTTGCTCAAGGTCTCCAGCTGGAGAGGCAGAATTGGGCCCAAATCCAGACTCCAAACTGCCCTTTTTACTCCACCCTGTATTAATTCTCTTAGGTCCCAGCAACTTGAGTTCCTAAGAGTCTGGGGGCCCTGGGATGACCTCCCCTGTCTCAAGCATCCCTGAACTCTGTGGGGCAAGAAGCAGCCTCTCCTACCCACCCTCCCTGGCCCTCTGAGAGGTGGGGGAAGGAGCCCAGGCCATGGTAGGTAGGCTGGGGGATGCAGGTCCACAGGAGGGGCGGCTGGCCCGAGGCTGGCTCCTTGTCTCTGCTCTCCACTGCTTGGCCTGAGCTCTGCTTTGATGCAAGGATTAAGGCTGAGGATGGAAGGGAGTCACATGGCCAGGGTGAGGCCATCTGCACAGGACTCCCCTCACCCTGGCCCGCAACCACCACCACCAAAGGCATTGTCTTAGACACCACGACCCTGCGGGGTGGGTGTCATTCCTTTAGCAGGACTTTGAATGGTTTCTCCCCAGCATGTGCCCTCAGTGGAAAATTTGGACAACAGGAAAAAAAAGCAAAAAGAGGAGGCGCTCATTGTTCACTCTTAGGGCTCTCCTTGGTCTGCTGAGTCCCACCCGCCCAGTCTCCAGCCCTCCAGGCTACTCCCCTTCTGCCATCTGTCAGATGTAATCAGATGGGAAATCGCCTTGTTTGCTCATTTGCCCCATTATCTCACTGGGGTGGAACTCCGTGAGAAAGAGGACCTGCTCTCAGGAGAGGACCTTCTGGCATAAAGCAGAAGTCCAGTTTAGCTGCTGAGTGAATGAGTGAATGGCCTTTGCCCAGGTACTTATAAACCTTAGTGCTTTTCCTGTTGATGTGTAAGAGCTTTTTATATATTAAGGCTGTTAGTTTTTTTTTTTTTCTGTTTTCCCCCCCTTTGGAGAAATTTTTGCTATAGAGCACATGTGTTCGCCAGAGAGCCAGAGAGAGCCAGAGAGACAGAAAGCGAGAAATCACCCGGGGGTATGGTCACGCTGCAATCCCTTTTCCTCCATTCTCCTTTAGGGATTTTGGGCACACACATACATGTGCCTGGTGTGAGTTTTAAGCCGCCGGGTCTGGGACTTGAACCGTGGTTGATTATATGGGAGTCCAGCAATGCGACCATTATGCCATCCTCTGGTCCTCAGTCTGTAAGTTTTCAGTATACCAATTTGAGAGAACACTATCCCTGGTTCACTGTTAGTATCTTATTCTATTTGTGGTGATTTTTTTTTTCCTGCCATAGAGCATGTGCACTTACCTGAGAGACAGAGAAGGAAAGTGAGAAGTCACCCCCTAAGGGGGGACAGCCACATTGCAATCCCTTCTCCACTCTCTTCTCAGGATCTTCGGTACACATGCACATGTGCTTAGTATATTTTTCAAGCCACCAGCTCTGGGACATGAATTGTGGTTGGCCATATAAGAATCCAGCACCCTATTCACCACACCACCTGTTGGCCCCATTTTTGTGGTAATTTTTGATGAGAAAGTTTTAGCCTTTAGAGGGTATGTGTATGGCAGGCATTTTTTTTTCCTGCTGAGAGCACTGGGTTGGCTGGGGTCTCTCTTAAGGGCTAGTCCTAGAAAATGAGGTGCTCAGGGACTGGGGCAGGGAGCCAATTCTGCTCACACCTTGATCTTCACTGCCTCCCACTCGCTTCTGGCCTTTGCTCTCAGGCTGGTAGGGCTCAACCTTTGATGTTTTCATGTGCCTACTCAGAGCTGGGTAAATCGGGTTGAGAAGGCAGAAGGCTCAAACTGCGGGGTGCAGAATAAGGCGTTCATTCGTTCTCATGAAGCTATCAGCCTCACCTGTCTTGCCCTGAGCTGTAGCACAGTATCTGCATGGACAGATAGGTGTGTGGATGATAGATGGGCAAATGCATAGGTGAGTTAGTGGGTGGGTATGGATGGACAAATGAATGGCTAGATAGATGAATAGATAGATGGATAGATGGATGAATGGACAAGTGGATGGATGAATGGACAGATGGATAGTTGAATGGGTAGATATGTAAATGGAAGGATAGACTGGTGGGTAGATGGCTGGATGGCTGGATGGGTTGGAGAGTGGATGTATTGGAGGGTAGATTGATGAGTGAATCAATGAGTAGTTGGATGGATGGAGAGAATGGAGAGTGGGTGAATGAATCAATGAATAAATGGATGGGTGGACTGAAGGGTGGATGTGTGGATGGACTAATAGATGGGTAAATGGATGAATGGATGAATGGATGGATGAATGGATAGATATATAGATGGACAGAGATGGGTGAACAGATGACTAAATGGATAGATGGGTGGGCAGATGTGTGTAAGTATGTATTAATATGTATGTATAAATGGATAAATGAATGAGTAGATGGATGGGTGGATAGATAGGTTAATGGATGAATAGATAGACTAATGAATGGGTAGATGAATGAACAGATCGATGATGAGTGGATAGATGAATGGACAGACAGATTGATGGATAGGTGGATGAGTGAGTAGCTGAGTGGATGGGAGGGTGGATAGATGGACAGATGAGTAGATGGACAGGTGGGTGGGTAAGTGGATGAGTGGATGGGTAGGTGGATAGATGGACAGACAGAGGGATAGGTGGATGGGAGAGTAGATAAGTGTGTGGATAGATGGACAGATGTAAAGATGGGTAGGTGGGTGGGAGAGTGGGTTAGTGGATAGGTGGATGGATAGATGGACAGATGGGTGGATGGGTGAGTGAGTAGATGAGTGGATGAGTGGGGTGGATGGATGGACAGATGGGTAGGTGAATGGGAGAGTGAATGAGTGGATGGATGGGAAAATGGATAGATGGGTAGGTGGGTGGGTAAGCAGATGAGAGGTTGAGTGGGTGGATGGATGGATGGACAAACAGGTGGGTAGGTGGATAGTAGAGTGGACTAGAGAACGGTGGGTGGATAGATGGACAGATGGGTAGATGGATAGATGGATGGGGGTGTGGATGAGTGGATGGGTGGATGGACAGAGGGACAGATGGGTAGATGAGCAGGTAGATGGGTGAGTGGATGACTGGATGAATGGGTAGATGGGTAGGTGGATGGATGAGTGGGTAGATGTACAGATGGGAGATGGGCAGATGGATGGGTGAGTGGATGACTGGATGAATGGGTAGATGGGTAGGTGGATGGATGAGTGGGTAGATGTACAGATGGGAGATGGGCAGATGGATGGGTGAGTGGATGAATGGATGGACAAATGGAGAGGTAGAAGGGCAGGTGGATGGGCACATGGATGAGTGGATGAGTGAGAGGATGAATGGATACTCTAGGTGGTAGATAATCACTGTTGAACAGAGCTAGACCACTCCTAAATTCCTGGACCTCCTGGAAGACAAGCTGCTTCAACTATAGGGAAAAAAAGTTAACTAAAGAGAAAAAAAAAAATCTGGAGGTCCCAGAGCCACAAGCCAAAGTTATAGATAGGCAAATTTCAAGGCTGTAGCACACGCCCTGCGTTGCCAAGATCTCACAGCTCAGCTTCGTCAGTCACCCTAGAGACTGAAACATACTAAAAATGCAAGCAGATGCAAAGAGGGTCAGCTCATCTCAAAACCCACAAAGCCCTAAGAGACATTCGGGGCTTCTGAGTCTCGCTCCACCCTTCAAAGCTGATGTCTAGGAGGACAAGCCAGGGCTCTCTCAGAGCCAATATCTGGGCCGGAAGCACCTCAAGGGATTCTTAGTGAGGGGTGGCTGGGACTAGGTGGGTGGGAAGAAAGGGTGGGAGGAGGAAAGGGGAAGGGAAACCGAGGGTGCACTGGAGCAAACCGCCCTCCGCCTGCTGCCCTTGGGGAACACAGGGCTCCTTACTCATCCATTTCCTCCTCCCCTTGACAGAGGCTCTGACCCAGGGATGAATGAACAGCAGGCAAAGGGTCCCTGAGAGTCAGCCCTGTCTAAGAACTGGTCACTTCATTTTCAACGTTCACACTACCAGCTCCTGCCATTCCGTCTGTGAAGACTGCCTTTCCTCTTCTTTATCTGGTGGGCTCCTATTCATCCTTCAAAGCTCAGCTTAGGTATTAGCTCCTCCAGGAAGCCTTCCTTGACTGCACAGTCTGAGCTTCCCACCATTCCAGTAAAGCCACCTCTTGACGGGCTCATTCCCCCTCCTAGTCTGTAAGCCACTCCTGGATGGGGCTGTATACGATTCATATTCACACTCATGTCCCGGGGCTCAGCCTAGGTCTGGCACTCTGCAGGTGCTTGTTGGGTCACCTGGAATCCCCTGGTGTGCTGGATCCGGGGTGGCCGGAGATGGGCTGGGGTGACTCACCCTCCCCCAGCTGCAGGGCGGGGTCCATGAGCTCCATCATGTACTCCACGTTGAGGAGCAGCTCCGTGAGGTTGCTGCGGGCCAGCACATACATGAGCACGGGCAGGAAGTCGTCGGCCCCGTAGGGCTTCCCTGGGAGAGGAAGGAGGCAGAGGCAGTGAGTGGGCAGGGCGAGCAGGCAGTGGTGTGCTGGGTGGGGACGGTCACCCTGGAAGAGGAACGTCTCCAGTCACCCATGACTCTCAGGACAGCAGCGTCCCCAGATCAGCTTCCTCAGGGCCACCTGAGGCACTGCAGGGTTTAGAGGAGGAACTGAGAAAGTGACCTGGGCTGGGCTAAGCGAGCCCTGTCCCAGCCCCTTCCCCTGTCCCTCCCTGCGGCTGCTCCTTGCTGGACTGATCAGGTTCCCATCACATTGGCTCAGAGACCCACCCAGAAGCAGCTGTCTAACTTCCTTCCTCAAACCAGCAGACGCTGGAGAGCGAGGTGCAGAGGACACAGGATTAAATGAACCGGCGAGGTGACTGGGCTGTGCTGAGCCAAACTGAGGCCTGAGGCCAAAGGAAAAATGAGTGTTCCTAACGGTATTTATCAAGAGGCCAGCAGGTGGAGCAGTGGTTAAGGCGCTGAACTCGCTCATGGCTGATTGCGGTTCGAGTCCCAGACTCAGGAGCTTGAAATTCACACCAGGCGCATGTGCATTTGTGCCAAAAATCCTGAGAAGAGAATGGAGGAGAAGGGATTGCGGCATGGCCATCTCCCCCTGGCAGTGATTTCTTGCTTTCTGTGTCTCTGAAGAGCGCATGCACCGTACGGCAAAAATCTGTCTAAAAAACAAACAACACCATGACTCTCCGTAGACCTCTGAGCTGCCACTGTCAGTTCTCCTGAACTCACGGGGGCTGGAGACCATGAGCTGGTTGGAAGTGACTGTTCCTAGCACACAGTCTGGTTGGATCATGAAACACACCCTGCCTTCATTTAACATGTCGATCTTTTGTTCATCATTAATTTTTTGCATTTTTACTTAAAAAACATTATATTAAAATATTACTTATGTTACCATATAACCCCAAAGTTCCACTCCTAGTTATAAACCCAAAAGAAATGAAAACATATTTCCACACAAAAGCGTGCACACAAATAACCCAAATGCCTGTCAACTGGTAAACGGATAGACAACATGCAGAACTTCCATCCGTTTGGCACTTAAATACTATGAGGCACTAAAAAAGAATCCTATCTGGTAAGAAGGAAGAAAACACTACTCATACCTTTGACAATGTGATGAACCTTGAGAATAGGATCCCAAGTTAAGGAAGCCAGTTGCAAAAGACTACATATTGTACATATTTAATTCTGTTTCTACAAAATGCCCAGAATAAGCCAACCCACCACAACAGAAAATAGATTAGTGGCTGCCAGGAGGGGGGGCGGGGAGGATGGGAAGGATGGCTAGTGGGTATATAGTTTCTTTCTGGGGTGATAATGTTCTGGAAGTGGGATAGTTTTGGGCATATAACACAGTGAATATACTAAAAAAAAACCCTCTCAATTATTTAAAAATATATGTGTTTTGGGACCAGCAGTTAGTGTAATGGCTATGTTGCTGGACTCCCACATAGTCGACCACGGTTTGCGTCCTGGACCTGGTGGCTTAAAACTCACGCCGGGCGTGTGTGTGTGTGCGTGCCCAAGATCCCGAGAGGAGAATGGAGGAGAAGGGATCACAGCGTGGCTATCCCCCCTGGGGGGTGATTTCTCGCTTTCTGTCTCTCTGTCTCTCTCTGTCTGTCTGGCGAGCACACGTGCCCTATAGCAAAAACCTCTAATATATATATATGTGTGTGTGTGTGTGTGTGTGTGTTTTGGGGCCAGCAGGTTGCATGGTGATTAAGGCACTGGACGACTACATGGCTGACTGAATTTGAGTTCTGGACATAGTGGCTCAAAAATCACACCGGGTGCGTGTGTGTGGGCCCAAAATCCTGAGAGGAGAATGGAGGAGAAGGGATGGCAGTATGGCCGTCCCTGCTAAGGGGAGATTTCTCACTTTCCCTGTGTCTCTCACTGGTGAGTGCATGTACACTATGGCAAACACCTTAAACGTGCATGTGCACACACCTACGATATATTACTCATATATGTCTAAATGCATAGGTGTAAAATTTACCGTGATCACTGATTTTTTTTTCTGGAATACCCTTTCATTTTGCCCCCAAGGCAGGTGCTTCACTCACCCGAATCCTGACCCTGGGGTGGTGCTTAGAGCAGGGGCTGGCATAGAACAAGCCCTTGGTAAATGGTCGCCGTCAGGAGTGGGCACTGGTGTGGGCCTTGCCCACAGGGAGACAAAGGAGGTGAGTAGAGCTGGCCCCTCCCTTAGGACCCCGCAGGCTACAGCCAACAGTCAGGCCTGGTACTAGGATTTCAGGGTCACAGACGACCTGCCAAGGAGGGCCTGTGGTCCCTGCCTGCTTGGTCGTGTTCTAGTCTGGTATGAGGGCCAGACACCACCACCCGCTTCCCCCCCCCCCCACCTCCTATGTTACCTTTTTTTTCCACACCTCTGTTTTCACAGCCACAGAGCCCCTGGCTTTTGGTTAGGACATGGCTGCCCACAATAAAAACCACATTTCCCAGCTTCCCTTGCAGCTAGGTGTGGCTATGTTTTGGCTAAGGGATACAAGGGGGGAAGTGACATATTTTAACTTCCAGGTTGTGCCCTTCACAGGAGGGGCAGGTGGCTGGACCAAAACCCTGAGGTTGGTTGAGCATCCACACTGAAGGAGACTGGGTCCCTGAGGACCTGGGGGAGGAGAGGGGTCAGAGCAGCCACACAAGAGGGAGGGAAATTTCCCTTCTGCTTAAATCCCTCTGGGGTGGGTGCGGGGGGCTGGGAACTCTGCACAGAGTCAGTCCGTTTGGGGACACCTTCTCATCACTTTTATGAGCCTGAGACACGACTGAAGAGCTCCTGGGGAATGATTATTTTGTGCTTGGAGTCGTTTCTCATGTGGATAATTTAATTACTAGAATCCTAGCAGGTAGAAGAATTTTGTTCTTTTTTGATTTCTGAGTTTGGTTCAAAAGCACAGATGTGAACCAAAGTCCTGTGCCTCGGCCATAATGCATGGCCTGGCTGAGAGCTGACTGCGTTATTACCCTGCTGCGGAGCCCGACCTTCCCTCCCTGGTATGCATCCATACTGTACCATGCGATGCGATCGGGCGGCTTGGTTAGCTTACAGCAGTAGCTCATGGCCGTGGTGACTGCCCGCCGGGGAAAGCGTGCTTGGCTTCTTTCCTTCATTAATTACTATTTTTTATTTTAGAAAGATTTGTTTATTTTTGGTCTGTCTAGGAGTCATTCAATTTCTTTCTTATTTATAAGACATTTTATTTGTATGTTTTAAATATTTATAGGAGTCATTCTTTTTTAATTTTTATTTTGGAGAGGTTTTTGCTTTAGGGTGTGTGCACTCACCAGAAAGAGAGAGAGAGACATAGAGACAGAAAGCGAGAAATCATCCCCCAGGGGGGATGGTCACGCCGTAATCCCTTCTCCTCCATTCTCCTCTCGGGATCTTGGGCACTCACGCACATGCGCCCGGCATGAGTTTAAGCCACTGGGTCTGGGTCTCAAACCACAGTCGACTACATGGGAGTCCAGAGACATAGCCATTACGCTAACTGCTGGTCCCAGGAGCCATTCATTTTTAAAAAGACATTGCCAGCAGGTGCATGAGCTCAGTGGAGAAACACAGTTACAGAGAGATAGGGAGAAAGCACCCCTTCCATAGGGGTGTGGTCACACTGCAGCCCTTTCTCCATTCTCCCTCTGTTGGGATTTTGGGCATGCGCCCACACACACCTGGCCTCTCTTTCAAGCTGCCAGGTCTAGGACTTAAACCATCAATAGGCCATGAGGGATCTAGCCAATGGATCCAACCAGCGCCTTCGGTTTGGGTCTTAGCGGCTAGGCTGTGTGGGTATGGCGGAGACCGGCAGGAGAGAGCCCTGGGGACCGTGGCTCTGTGCCTCCTGGGTTTGGACAGCCCTTGACCCCTTTCTTGTACCCTCACTCTCCTTGAGGAACCTAGCCAACCTCAGGAAAGGCTTTGGGGCCATCGCCGTGCTTCCCACCTTACCGCGTTCAGCCGCCCCACCGTGGGACGCCCTCAAACCCACATCTGCCCTCCAACCACCTGTGGACACCTCACCTCATCTCCCCAGTTCACATGGCAGTCAGAGGTCCACAGGAAGTAGTACTGGGAGGAGGAATGAAGGAAAGAACACTGAGCCCCCAGCGAGAACCCTGAGCCGGGCGTTGGCACAGACTCGGACGGCCCTAGAGGGGCTCTCGGTCCTTCCCCCATTGGGAGCCACACCACAGCATGCCTCAGCCTTTCCCGGAATCCATTCCTGGGGCCTCCCCGCTCAGTCTTGCATCTGACCACCTCCTGTCCCCACCCCCTTCCCCCAAGGCTGCCCTCGCAGCAGTGCCTCTGTCTGTTGGGCCACTCATCACTTGAGAGACATCATGCTATGTCTCTTTTCAAGAACCATCAATGGCTCCCCACTGCCTGGAGAATTGAGTCCAGATTTCATACGCTGGTATCCCAGGCCTTCCACAACTGGGCCCATAGACATCACCCCAACACGATGTACCTCCGGACATACTGCCTAGCCATTGCCTCAGACTCTGCCCCGCACACCTGCCTCTGGGTCTTGTCACCTCACCCCTCTGGTGAGCCCCTCCCTCGCCTTCCACAGGTCGGGGCCTGACGTCGTCCACACAGCAGTATCTGCGTGATACTTTAAATGGCAAAGACCAGTGAATCCTTTTTTTTTTTTTTTTTTTAGGGGTTTTTTGTTTTAGGGGATGGGGG